ACACATTTGCATATCGGAGTCCCCGCAACAAACACGTTTCTACGTTTCGCGTATCCACGAGTTTAAAAACCGCGGAAAAAAGTGTAAATGAGAACGAAAGAGACAGTTCACAAAATGCCAATGTCAAAGTTGGAGCTCCAGGCTCGGCCATCAAGATCGTAACCAGCTTACCACTTTGATTTGCGTGCAGTGATTATTTTCTTCTTTGGATAGGTATATAAGAGGATAACAATCGTGGAGTTTTTAGAAACTCGTTCTGCGCTTTACTTACCTCGTTATGGAGGACCTGAAGTTGTTGTCACAGACTGCGTGACATACTTCCTACATTTTAACAGATTTAAATAGTATCCCCAAGGGATATTCTTGTGATTCACGTGATTACTTTCCCAAAACTTTGAAAGATGTCAAAGTTTTAACCGTCCTGTTATGAGTTTTTGAAAGCTTCTTTTTTCATTCTTATGAAAGCTCGCTGGTTATTGAGGAATCGATTTATTATATCGAATGGCTGATTGATATAAGCGAATTAACAGGATAAAGGTTATGGAATGCGAATGGAATGGAATGGGGAAAACAAAATTGCAGACTGAATGAAGGAATAGCATTTCAGAAAGATCTCTCATTATATAACTGGCTGGTCACACTGACCCATTCCCAAGAAAACCACACCGCAAGCTTACATGTTAAGTGCCCAGAAGCGACGTACGTTTTCTTCATTATTTCTTCAGCCAATACTGTTAATACGTGGCGCCTCATGGTGCCGGCCGATTGATGTGATCCCGCCTGGAAAGAGTCTTCTGGGCCCCGCACCCGTGAACAACCCCGTAAACAGCCGCTTATAACCCCTGGACTTATACAACTTCGTAAAGGGTTTAGATGGGCTTAGAAACAGAATAGCTCATGAGATGAGCTAAAGCAGTGTTGATCGAAATACGATTTTCATATAGTGGTTTTCAATTAAGCTTTAAAATATCATAATAAATCCCATATTCCATATTCCTAATTTCTCGCTGCACAATTCAATCACTGACTGACCAAATGACTGACTTACTGAACAATTGACTGACTGACTAACTGACTAATTGACTGACCGACCAACCGATTGTCTGACTGACTGACTGACTGACTGACTGACTGATTGAAAGACTGCCTGGCTGACTGAATCACTGAACGACTGAATGACTAATAGTAATAGTAATAGTAATAGTAATAGTAATAGTAATAGT